CAGCCGTCTGCCTAATTGGGAGTGCCTGGGGTCAGGGTGCTGCTGCGGGAGGGCTGAGGGCAGCGCTGTGTGTGCGCTGGTGAGCAGCGGGGTGTGCGCTGGTGAGCAGGGGTGTGTGTAATGGTGAGCAGTGGGGTGCAGTGGAGAGCAATGGTGTGTGCTGGGGAGCAGCAGTGCGTGCTGGGGAGCAGCAGTGTGCAATGGTGAGCAATGGTGTGTGCTGGTGAGTGCCCCACACCGACAGGAGGGGGTGGCTGCCCGGGCGCTGCCTGCGCGCTGCCTGCTGCAGGTGGCTGTTCTGATGCCCAAACCCACCTGGGGTCACTCGCTCGGCTGAGACACCGTCCCGGGGCGGAGGGGCCTCTGAGAGGCCTCGACCGCGAGGCACGTTTGGTGGGTGCTATCTCAGCTGACATCCTGGAGGCTCAGGGCACGTTTGGTGGGTGCTATCTCAGCTGACATCCTGGAAGACAAACGGTCAGGAGCATTCCCAGCAGTGGTGGAAGACTGTGCCCGTCTCTGAATTTGGGTCGATGGCTTTTTCTTCCTTGTCTTTTCTAATCTGCCGGGGTAACTTTGTAGTATGTGTCTGAGACGGATAAAAATCACAGGCGGGAGAAGGGATAGTTCAGGTTATGCGGTGCAGTGCTTTCTCTGCTGGCACATGACAGAGCTAATGAGCAAGAGAAGTCATTGCGGTGCTCGGAGGGCTCCGGGGGTGCCAGTGCCTGTGGCCCAGGCGGTGCCGGGGGGCGGCGTGCGCAGCCGCAGCCAGCACAGGGTTCTGCCTCCTCCCCGTGGGCTGCGCAGCCCTGTTCATGCTGCCAGACTGCAGAAATGAGAGGGAAAAGAAATGCAAATCCTGTCAGGAGCGAGCTGGCTGTTATCGTAGCTAAGTGCTGTTCATTGCAAAATCAATCTGGCACCCAGCGCTGGGTCTCTGAGGCCGCGTTCGTTCTTCCCCTTCCTCAGCTTCGTGCTGGTGCAGAGCCGCGCTCCAGGCAGTGGGTGAGCACCAGTTGGGCAGTAATTGCCGTGGAATTAACCTCTGACATTCTTCTAAAAATAGGCCAAATAAATCCAATCATTAGCAGCTCTCCTGCTTGCTTTGCCTCAAGGGTAAACACTGCAGATTAAAGCGTTTACAAGTTACAGGTCTGCGAGCGTTTCCTCGCTTCTCCCCGTTACTGCAGCCCAGCATCAGTCCCTGCTCGGGGGTTTTGCCCCCTGGTGATGGAGCTTTGGTTTGTGGGGAAGGGGAGCAGTGCGAGTGTGGGGCCTTTTGGGGTGATGGAGGGCTGAAAGGCGTCACTTTAATTTACTTTGATGGATGGTGGAAGATTCAGCAATGGGCAGAGAAAACTGGCATAGTCGAAGTGACCACCTGGGCTGCTCTGCCTGGTGGGTTCAGGTGGAGAATACAAAGGTGTCTTCACCCGTCTGCTCCCTCTCCTCCAAGGGGGAAGGCAAACCACTGCCCCGAGCGTTGGATGGGAGCAAGAAGCAGAGGAGCTGGGTGGGAGTGAAGCCTGCCCCTTGCATGGGCGCTGTTGGCAGGGACTGGGGTGAGGGAAGCTGGGGTGCTGGGTGGCACTGGGCCCTCCCTGGGTCCCAAAGTGGTGGGGGTGGCTCCCCAGGGTGCGAGGGAAGCGTGCCATGCCGCCCCACGCCACCCACCTCTGTGCCCCCGCTGCTGGCAGCAGTCCCCGGGCTGCGTTCGGCACAGGCACAGCGAGAAATAGCCCCAGATTCGGCCGCTGGGGCGCAGGGCAGGGCCAAGGGGGCAGGAGTGCCAAGCAGGTCTTGATTCATGACAGCAAAGTTCCAAAATGCTATGGCCGTTGTTACTACAGACAATAGAAAAACGGAGATTTATCAAGACCCCACAGGGGCCGAAGCGCTGACAAGGCGCGTAGCTGGGAGTGGGGCTTTCTAGACGCCTGCGAAAGCCGGTCTGTGGTTACTTAAATTGTCTTTGTCTTCTTCTTTCTAGCTGACATCATCTCTACAGTAGAATTCAACCACACCGGAGAATTACTAGCAACAGGGGACAAGGGGGGCCGCGTTGTAATATTTCAGCGTGAGCAGGAGGTAAGTGCCAGTGAATGCAAAATGCCCATTTTATCCTTTTAAGAGAAGCTTCCTGCTGTTTTCTAATCCGTACGTGTCACTCCTAACCTCTGGTCTCTCCTGGCAGACTCCAAACTGAAAAGCGACTATTAACATAAGCAGGACCAGATTCCATCTTCTAAACCACCCTCCAAACCCACGTGGCATTTTCCCGCATCCTTTTGCTCTGGTTGCAGCTCTCTGCAGCCGGGTGTAACTTGGATTCGAGCGTGCCGCGGGTGTCCGTCTCGTAGCTACCACCACCCCCCAAAAACCCTCTCCCGCCACCAAAATGTCCGGAAAGCGTAGATGGATGAAACAGTCTTGTTTCCCTTCCAAAACACTTTGCCCTAGGAGATTTTAACAAACTCAAAGTTGAGGTTGCGGTCTGCCCAACCTTCTGCAGGAGTGGCGAGCGCTCAGCCTTCGGCACGGGCGCCCGCGCTGGCGTGCACAAAGCCGGCCTGGCCTGGCGAAAAAAAGGGATAAGTCAGATCTGGCCATGAAAAATGTCATGGTCTGATGCCAATTTTAAATTTTTCTCAAAGTTATAGCCTCAGAATTATTTCTGTATATGCTGGGGAGAACCGATCGGTTAAAGGTTACACTCATAGACGCTTCATCAACCTTTCCAGCAGTATTTCATTTCTCATTTCTCTCTCATTTTATTATTCTGCTGCTTTTCTTGAACTTCAAGCTTCCTAACGTCACTTTAAGCTTCCTAACGTCACACCGGGTGTATTCCGCTCAGCTCCTGCTTTGGAGCAGGACTGCGCTCCAGGGGGCAAGTGAGGCTTCGCTGGCCCAAACGCATCGTTTGCAGTAGGGAGTTCATCCCCACAGCAGTTTTCATTTAATTACCTTAGCCCCGGTCAGAGCCCGGTGCTAGGTACTTCACCCCGTAGGGTTTGCAGATACGCGATACCTTACGAGTCTGAGCCATGGTACGCGGCGTCAGTTCCTACAGGGCTTGTGTCCTTTTCTTGGGTGCTTTATCCTTGCTTTATACTTGTGCACCTGGGGGGCAAACGCTGCTTATCCTGTGCCGGTGGTGTGGTGCCAGCGGCTCCTCGGGGTGGGTTTTGGTGCCTGGTAGGAGCTGGTGCTTGGTCCCAGCTGTTCGCCAGGGATGGCCAGTGCGGCAGGCTCCATTCTGCTCCGTTCCTGCTCCGTTCCTGCTTCATTCTGCTCCGTTCCTTCTCCGTTCTGCTCCATTCCTTCTCCTTTCTGCTCCGTTTCCACTCCATTCTGCTCCATTCCTTCTCCATTCCTTCTCCGTTCCCGCTCCGTTCCCGCTCCGTTCTGCTCCATTCCTGCCAAGCACACCCATGCACAGGAGCTGCAGCACCAGGAGAGGCTGTGCCTTGGCTTTCAGACCTGTGCTGTGTCCCCACGACCCGGCACTCGCCGTCACTGAACAACCCCTAGGGAACTAAAGAGTCAACAGAAAATGTGCTCTTGCTCTCTGTGCCTCAAACTCCTCTCTGTTCCCCATCCTGCAGAGCAAAAACCAGCCCCATCGCAGGGGAGAGTACAATGTCTACAGCACCTTCCAGAGCCACGAGCCGGAGTTCGATTACCTGAAGAGTTTGGAGATAGAGGAGAAGATCAATAAGATCCGATGGCTCCCGCAGCAAAACGCAGCCTATTTCCTGCTCTCCACCAACGGTAGGTGGCCATGGGCAGCCCAGGCTGGTGGGGCCAGCACTGGGGCTGCCCCCACCACCTCCAACCCCTGGGGCCTGCGCTGAAGTGTTTCCTCGGGAAAAATATATGTTAAAAAAAGGTCACCTCCCATCATGGTAACACAGGTGTCACGGGGGAGCAGGGACCTGGCCAGAACGGTCTGGCAGAGCTCAGTTCCCGTGGATGAGGTTTTGTCCTTATTTCACAGCATCCCTTCCCTACAAGGGAGGGAAACTTTTCCCCCTGCTGATACCTTTTATTTTTATTTTTTTGGATCTTGGGAACTCTTTTTTTTTTTTAAAGAAAAACTGCAGCTGATTTGTTTCAATTTGCAGCTGCGTTCAGCTCCGCCGTTCCATGTTATGTTCAGATAAATATCAGGAGGATCCAGGAATATTACTTGGGATGAATGGAACCTTAAGATGGATGTGACTTAATTACTTCAGGGGAAAAGGAGGGGTCTAATTATCTTCCATAACCAACTTACTTTGTATTATAGAATTGACTCTATTGATCATTGTAATAAAATTCAAAGACTTACTAAACTCATTTGGGGGGAGAATCATTGAAATGCAATGAAGATTAATTATAGAGCATAATGTTCTGTTAATTGAGTTTTTAAATAGTTTTTTGATTAACAGGGATATTATCTTTCCATTTGGGATGGTGTTTCATATGCTAGCAGGTTATCAAAATGATTCTTTTAGAAATATTGCCGTGTTATGCTGTTTCTTTTTGTTCTTACTGTTAAACTAACGTTATATATAGAAACCCCCTGAAGTAAAGCAGGTTAATAAAACCAAAATTAATGGCACTCTATTGGAATTGCCGTGTAAGGGAGAAAATGAAGATGGATGATACGGTTGTATATGAAACCTGGTGGAGGTGATGATAAACTGCTGGTAGAGTCTCTGCCAGGAGAGAGGAAAGAAAACACCATTACTCAGAATAAAACCACATGTTCCTGGGGCTCCTTCCCCCGGGGCTTCGTGGGACTCCAGAAGGGGATGGGGAGCTGGGAGGGGGGAGTGTCAGTGGTAAATGCCGGGCTCTGTGCAGTTCCTGGGTGGGGAAGGTCAGGATGACTTTGGAGTGAGTTACAGGCACCGTTTCGGCTCCCTCGGGGAGCTTTCAGGGACAGCTTACCCCCCCGTGTCCTCTGCTCCCTGTCGTAGCAGCCAGCTCGCTGGAACCTCGAATCGCCCATTGCTCCGCTCCCCTCATTGCACGCTGGCTTTCTGCATGAACTCCATGGGAAGCAAAATGATGGTGGCACCCTGTGCCTGATGAGCTTTACAGCCGTGCAGAGCTCCCAGCGCCTCCTGCCCACACGGGTGCTGCTGTGGCTGCCTCCCCGGCACCCCAGCACCGGCAGGGTGACACCCGCATGGAGCCACCCTAGGGTGTCCTCATCCCTCTTCTCGTGTTTCCCAAGGGGCTGGGGGTGTGGAAGGCAGCACCTCGGCGCTGGGGGTCAGCAGGGACAGCTGTGGGTGTTCACAGCGCAAGGGTCCAAGAGAAGGAGCAACAGCACCTAGCAGGGACAGAATTAGGAAAGCTGCTGCATCCTTGGTGTTTAACACATTTCCAGTTACTAGAAGCTGTATTAATGTGGAAAGTACTCTCAAAAAGTAATGGTGGCCCCTGGATATCAGCTGTATGAGCTAGGAAACGTAGGAGGAAGAAATCCTACGTGGGAATCTGCTTTTGGCTGGCTTTCCAGCGAGCGTGCAGGTGTGGGGAAGGGGGGGGTTGTGTGTCCGTGGGTGTGCACAAGCGTGCGACACACGCACGTTGGTGGCAGGGAGGAGCGGAGCAGCCCTGTGTGGCGCTGGCCCATTGCTGGGACGTTGGGTTCAGCCTCCCCACGCTGCCCGAGCTGCTCCGTCCTCGTCACCGCCTCTGGGGGAAGCTCGGCCCCGTCACTCACTCGATATATCAAAGGCCAGCATTCGGGGCATGACCTCTGAGGCTCTGAGCCCTGGGAAATCACTTCTCCTATTATTTCTCCATTAATCCAATAGTTCTGTTCTGTTGTTCAACCATCTCCTTAAATATGGAATAAACGTGCCAGCAGCTGTCTGGCAGGCACAGGAAAACCAGGGCTCTGGGGATAAAGTGCTGTGGTGACAGGTACATCTTCTGTAACCACTTTCAGCAAGTTGCAGGTGGGGACACAGAAGACTTTTCACTGTTAAACCAACTGGCATGGCCTCGGCATGTCCGTCAGCGGGTGTCCATAATGTTCTCCTCTCTCCTGCCCCCCAGATAAGACTGTGAAGCTATGGAAGGTCAGCGAGCGGGACAAGAGACCGGAGGGATACAATCTCAAGGATGAGGATGGCCGTCTCCGAGACCCCTCCATGATCACCATGCTACGGGTGAGTGCGGGGAGACCAAGGCTGCCAAAGAGCCTTTCTCTTCAGAGTCTTGGATAAAAATCACTCCCGTGTCACCTGTGTGTGCATTACCAGTAAAGCCCTCCCAACGTGCAGGTCGGTGTCGGTGGGCAGGGGGGGCCCTCCTTGTCTGGGAGGGCAGCGCTTTGGCGGGTGTGTGGGCACGGGAGCGGAGGAGGGAGCTGGTGCCGGAGCGGTGCCCGGGCTGCACCGACTCTGGGCCTGCCGTGAAGCGCCGTGTCCCGTCTCATGTTGGGTGCCGCGGTGCCGCGGCTGCGCCGCCCTGCACGCCTGTCCCGGTGACGAGGCAGTTAACGAGCTCGCCCTTCTCAATGCATTTGCAATTGCAACTTCTGCTTTGGGAGCATAAGTACTTTCTCTAAATGAGTTTTCCTCCCAGCCTAAGGAGATTAAAACCGGCCTCCCGAATCCAATGTAAGCACCTAAGGCTACGTTTTCCATTTACTGCAAGGGGGATGGATGCACAGACCCCATTAAAGCAGCCACCCCGGCGCCCCAGGAGTGTGTCCGTCCCAGGAGCCCACCTGGCCAGCAGTGCCAGCAAATTTGCTCTTCCCCCAGTGCTGCCCTGGGATAGCTGTTTATGATCTTCAATTTGCATATAAAGAGCCAATTTGGGCCCGGGGCTGTGCGCGCCCTGTTAATTCAATCAGAGCTCACCCTGCGCCCCCGGGAGCTCCGGCAGCTCCGGCCGTGGGTACAGGTGGGGGGGCTCCAGCCTGGCACCCTCTGCAGGAGCGGGTCCCTTGGCCTGCCCCAGCAGTGAGCAGGGTCCCCCTCTGCGAAGATACTCGCACACAAACAGACAATAACTCCTTTAGCCTGCAGGCCTAGAAATGCCAAGTATGCAGTAATTTTGTCATGACATTAATCAGTCCAGACTAGCTTGTAATTTATTAACATCCTGTCAGAATTTGCATTTTGAGTACTTGGGGGTTTTATATTTATATATATGTAAAATTGTTGCTATGATTACCCTCGGCTCACTTTTATGGCTTCCAGTTCCCCTGCAGATGAAGCCATTGAGAACCAGACAGGTTCTCATTACATTAACTACCAGACAGGTAGTTAATTCTCGTCTCCGTACTGAGTTGCTCCTGGTGGCTGGCAGGCATTTTTCTTTACTGAGCAACAACACATTTTATTTCATGTATATATGTATCTGCTGTCATGTTTCAGGCAGCATTTCCAGCCTAATATGCCATTACCTAGACAGCCCGTTGGAGGAGTTTGCTCGGGATGTGGATGTCGGAGCTGGGGTTACCGAGCCTCTGCAGGGCTGGGCGGCAGGCGGTGATGCTAAGGGGTGGTATTCCCATTAGTGCTTCCTTCTCTGGCTAAAGGCTCTGGAAAAGCCCTGGGCTTACTGTGGGAACACAGGTCACGGTTTCGCCTAGGTCTGCCGTCTCGGCGCCCGTGCTGAGCTCTGCTGCGAGCGGCTGTCGGTGTCGGTCCTGTGCCTGGGGGCCTCCTGCCCTCCCTAACGCACTGCTGGGAACTACTGCAAAACAGCAAATGCAAGGTCAGCGTTCTCAAAGGAGCAATTTTTGAATATTGGTTTATTTTTATTTCTAGTGTGTTCTTTAAGAACACGGAATTTCTGGGGGAAGTGAAGCAACTCAGGAGTTCAGGATAAACATGATGCACATTTCTTTTCTAACACAAACTGTATTAAAACTGCCAACCTTTTATGCAAAAGCTTCATTATGGGAACATGGAGTTTTGGTGTGTTCAGATGAAACTTTTTAACCTTTTGAAAATGCATTTTATCTTTTGGGTTGACCTGGCTATCAGCTCTGTAGGTGTCACGACATCCATCTCACCTTCACTGGCTGCCAGGCGGTCAGACCCACGCTGGCAGGCGTGGGGAGTGTGGGGCGACATGGGGTCCCCCTTGCTGGGCGAGCGGAGGCCATGAGGAGCATGGCGGGTGGCCCTGGCCATGTGGCACCGTGTCCTCGTGTGATGCCTTGGCCGTGTGGCACCGCTCGTGGTGCTGGCTCTGCCGCCCTCCCTGCGGCACCGCTGACTTTGCGGTGCTGTGTGTGCCCGTAGCTGCTCCTGCTCCTTCCTTTACCTGTGTTACAGACCCTGGAGCGGGCAGAACAAGCAGCCTGTGCGTGTTTGCTTGAGGGTGGGTGCAGGGTGGAGGCAGGAGAGCCGAGCTGGCTGGTCGGGCTCCCATCACCGACCTGCCTCTCTGCTCCCCGGTCTGCTCCCGCTGAGCTGGTGGGAAGCGGCTGTCGATTGATCGGAGCCCTCAGTGAGGGTAATGATGCCTCAGCGGGGTGCACGGGCAATGTGGTTATGAAAATAAATAAATAACCGTCGTGCTTATCTTCGCTATTGATTGCTGGCGTGAGCTGATTGCCTTTGACCGCATCCTGGCGCTTGAATTGGCGACCACAGGGCTGAAGCAGAGCCGAAAATCAACCCGGGTGTTTTTGCAAGCGCTCAAGCTGAAGTTACAACATCCAGCCCATCCACCACTGCTGGTGCCCAGCGGGGCATCCTGGAGGAGGGGCAGGGATGCAGAAATGCCGGTCCAGCCCTGGGCAGTGCAGTGCTGGGGATTTCCCAAGGACGTGGGCCAGCTCTGCAGCATGCCAGGGCCATGTCTGGGGTGGGGGCAGCCAGCCCACCCCACTGGGCACTCACCTGTCCCATCCGTGCTCACCCTGGGAACACCCCTGCACTGCCGGCATGGATGGAAGAGGCAGCAGTCGCTGGAGTTTGTCAGGGAAGGAGGGAATTGCGATTTTTTTTTTTTTTTTTTTTTCCCTGTAGAAAGTCGTACTGAACTATCAGAGAACTGGGCACTATTTATTGGAGTCCACTGTCTGCCTTGAAAGTTTCAGCCTTCGTTTTACTTTCAGTCCATTTATTCCTGGTAGCAGCTTGATGCCGTGTGGCTGGAGGGGTTTGGTACTTGGGTGTTTTCCCTTGTGCTATGAGATACGGTGCTGCGATTCCCCGCTCCCCGGCAAGCAGCCCTGCAGGAACGTATGGCTCCTGCTTCATGGCAATGGGAAGAGGTAAAACACGATGTAAGTGCTTGGTATTATGGTTATTAGTATCTGCCTGCTGTCCCTGAGGACGGAAGATTGAGGAGTCTTCTGCCTGCCCTGGTTTGATCTAATGTTTTGATGATTTTACTTAGACAGATATTTACATAGCCATTTTGCTGCAGCTTGGTGGATCTTTAACATTTAATTGTCCTGCGATGCTCGCGCTTTGGAGTAAAGCCACATCCATCCACAGTTTAATTTTCAACCACAGACAAGCGAAAAAGGGTTTTAAAACCACCTTGCTGCAATCATCTCTTACCCATTCGTCGTAACAGTTTAAATGTGCTTGATGAGCATTGTTCTCGGAGGAATTTCTAACCCACATAGTGCGAAAGGAATATTTAACTCTGCTCAGGCTGTAAAGTAAGGCTTTTTCTGTCATTAAAAGAGCTCTGCTTATTTGGATAGCCCCCAGTCTAATAGCTACAGCCCTTCGGCCTCATTTAGCAGCCTCCGCGAGCTCTCGAGTGCCGCTCAGCGTACAGCCAAACCTACGCCATGGGATGTGTGTGGGAAATAATTAACACAAATAATATCCAGGGCTTAAATCTTTTTAAATCGAGAATGTGTTTGCTTTGATCCCTCCCAGCGCAAGTCAGACTGCGGTGAAGCACTGGTGCACATCGTCCCACCAGCTTTACATCGTTTAAAAAGCAGCAGCAGCAGTGCTGCTGCCAGCACTACCTTGGCATGCAGTGCCCGAGCTCCTGGCACCACAGGGATGGCCTTCTGCCTCCCCGCTGTGCCTGCTGCGAAGGATGTTCTTGTATCGGGGCAGTGTGCCTTCTATAGCCAGGCTGGGATTTCTTATTCCACCAAGTCCCCTGCTCCTGAGCTACATCCACAGCGGGGAGAGCAGCCGGGGCTCCCCAGGGCTGGCGGGGCTCTGGCTGGGGGGTCTCTGGAGGGGCTGCTGCTGCCTCCCCTCCCCTGTCCCAGGGAAACCCAGGGGGACTCGGATACCATTTGGGAACATCTTTCCCTGCCTCATGCAGCTGACCTCTGCCCCAAGCACTTTAAAACGTTGGTAGGTATGGAAGCACCCTGCAAACTGGCGTGCACCTAATGAGCCCCAGGGGCTCTGGGCACCAGGGTTGTGTCTCACCCAGGTTACTAAGGACTCGGGAGACTGCTGTGGCACAGAGGGTGGTTTTCTGTGGTGGACACCTCCCTGGGCGAGGAATGACCCTCCCAGGCCAAGCGCAACGTGGGTGCGATGAGCAAGTGCGTTGATGCGCCCGGTTCTAGGTGTTTGTAGCCGTCACAAATCGCTCTCCAATTAAGAGCTACCACTTCAGCTCTCTCAATTCCAGCAAAATCCATCATAAATTCTGTTTTATATCTCCCATTTTGCCAAAGCACTCGGGTTTCTTGACTCCTGGGCACAGTTTCCCGGGGAGGCTGTGCTGTGTTCCTGCTGCGTCCGATGCACCCGAGGGGCAGCCCCAGCGCGGGGCTGTATGATGGGACGGGGAAAGGAATGGGGGTGGTTCGGGGAAGGACTGCTGTGCTGCTGCATTTCTGCCCCAGCAGAGAGATATGTCTGTCTTTTCCTTGTGTACATTCTCCAAAGCATTATCATTTAAATGACAAGGTAATGTGAAACATTTGGTGGGTTTTGGCTATAAAATGCATATGGCAGAACTAATCAATTTCAAATGATCATCATCAAACCATTGCCACAAATTAGAAAAAGAAAAAAAAAAAAAAAAGGGTTTTCCCATTTTCATTAGTCACTTACATTGCTCTAAAGCAGCTCGATGTGTGATACTTGCCTGCTCGGCTGCCCTTGGGTACCCTGGCCCCTCTGCCACGCAATGCCGTCTCTGGGAAGCCAGCGTGCTGGTCTGGGACGTGCTGGGGACCTCTGTGGTTACTGGCTTGGAGGTGCTT